TTAAAATTGATAATATTAAATTCATATATTTATTTAATAAAATATAAATTTTACATATAAAAATTATTGAAAAAATTATCCTATGTCTCTGCCCAACACTTGAAACATGAAAAAGTTATTTATTTTTAGCCTAATGTCAAAAAAATCTATCAACTTTATACAAATAATTATTAGAGCAATGCTAGGAACACTCGCCATTTGCACTCGCCATTTGCACTCTCCAACCAACACTCATTTTCATTGGGCCACGTTATGTTGGTTTGGGAGAGGTAAACATTTCATACCGAAGCAGCTTACGTGACCAAATAAAAAAGCATGTATTGACGGGAAAATGCAGGAGGCCAGTGCCCCTCGCACTGCTCTAATTATTATAATTTTTTACTTTAAAACAAGTTATAAAATATCCCTAAACTTCGGGGAGAAAGCACAAAGCAGCATCCCTTCATTGATGGGACATCGTGACGCCGTTCACCGACCGACTAGAATTCTCCTAATTTTAATGGTAAAAGACAAAGCTTGTCCATCAACTTTCCATTCTTGTGCGCTAAGAACTCAAACTTTAGATTTAATCAATTCAGTACCTAATTTTAACAAATTTTCTTTTTTGCACAGAAAAAGAAATTATTTAGATGGAGTACAAGGGAACAATTTTATTAAAATATGGTGCTCAAACTTGTGAAAGATATCCAATTTTTTTTTAACAATATTGTTATGGGACGAACTAAAATCCACCCAGGAGGGAAATGTACCTCAACCTGGCAAAAGGCCACTTGGCCAAAAAAAACCAGCTGCGTTAAAGATATCCAATTAAATTTCAATTAAAACGAATTTTAACATTAACAACTAAGGTATGTTTGATTTGCGCGGAGATATAATTACTTGATTTCGTTATCAAAAAATTAGAGAATGGAATGGAGACAAAAGCCCTTTATTTTTTGCTGTTAATTCCTTTAGTTATTTTAATTTATCCAAATGACAGAAAAGAAGTGGAGAGGAGAGGAGGAATATATTGAAAAATAAAACATTATATAAATCTTTTATTTAAAATTATAAAATTAATAAAAACTAGAAACCATAAATGACCTAATAAGCAATAAAACATAAGCCTAATGGCAAAGAAAAATCACCTGTGCAAGGGGTAGAGAGGCCTCTAAAGTTCATACCATGTGTTCTACACGGACAGACAAAAAGGCACGACCTGCATTCTCAAACTGGAGCTTCTCTAAGTATGGTTTTTTATGTACGATATGAAGTTCAGAAATAAATTAAAAAGATGCTCTAGCAATAAAATCAAAACTATATAATTAACCATACCTACAAACTTCGTCAGATGATGTTCAGGAACTCATACAACTAGCTGTTAAACACAGACGAACTTTAGCAAGAATGATTTGGCTGATGACCCCTTCTTTTGAGCGCAAGATATGTCTACTCCATGCTATTCTTACGAAGAATATATGTAAATGCACATGTGAACTCTCAACAAAGAACATAAGAGGATATCAAGATTGAAGAAGAAGATAGCATACCGCGTGCTTGACAGAAAAAGAATTTATAGAAGGTGGACACTTGATAACAAACCAAACTCTTTCTTTTGAGAGCAAGGCTGAGGGCACTCGCCCATAAGCACTCTCTTCCTGCACTTGCTCCTCTCTTGCTGACACGTTATAATTAGGGTGTCTATATCGATCCAATCTAAATGATCCGAGCTAAGCTGATTTAATTTAATTAAAATTCGATCTAAATTAATATAAAATTAAATTAGTTTAAATTTTAAAATTTTAAAATTAAAATAATTAGTTTAACTTATATTTTTTTTAAAATTCGATTACAAAATAAAATTTGATTAAAAAATAATTTAATTAAATAATATAACATATTTTTATAATATTTTAAAATTTTTTTATTTTACAAAATAATAACTCCATTAACTTAATTAAAAAATAAAAATAAAATATCTCAATATTCCTTAAGTTATTTTTTTTTATTTTATTCATACACTTTAAACTTAATTCTAAGTTTTTAATTTATCTGCATTTCTATGCTCTCAGAATTGATTTGTGCCTTTACTCTTAAAATTTTAAAATTTTAATTTATTTTTAAA